ATAAGGACCAGGGCCTGGGATCGTGAGGCTTCTTGCAGCTGCCTGTAGAAGGCCTCATCCACTTCCTCTCCCTGATCAGGAGGCCTGTAGTAAACTCCCATGACCGTGTCACCCTTGTTGGCTCACCCACAGCGCCCCGCGCTTCGTCCTCCCCTACGCTGAGCTCCATACATTCCAGTGGTTCTCAGGTAAAGAGCAACTCTGCCACCTCGCCTTCCTGTCCTGTCCTTCCTGAAAAGCCTAAAGCCATCCATGGCCACATTCCAGTCATGAGAGCTGTCCCACCACGTCTCAGTAATTGCACTGAGATCATGGCCCTGCAAACGCGCACGCATCTCCAGTTCCCCTTGTTTATTCCCCACGCGAGGTGTTTGACTTGGGCATCCAGTGTGCCTCTCTCTCTAGCTGGGGCAGCTGGAACTTGACCATGTGGCCTTCAGAAGGTCTCTTATTTACCCATGTAGACTCTTCAGACTTAGGGCACCCTAACAACCTATGGAGTTAGGCAGCTGCAAGTGGCATGACAGGCCATCGCCTACCCGATGATACCCTCCTCCCGCCTCGGATGTAGTTTAAAGCCCTCTCAATGAGCCCTGTGTTCCAGGGCTCTCTTCCCTCTTTGAGAAAGATGGATCCCATCAGATTCCATCATACCTCCCACTATGTGAGGCTTCTTGTTACCAAAGAAAACAAAGTTGTGGTGGTGACACCAGCCACAGAGCCACGGGTTAATGGAGCATATCCTCCTATTTCTTTCTATATTGTGGCCAGCACTGGGAAGAATGGAAGAGGATATGACCTGTGCGCCTGAGTTCCCAATTGCCTGCCCCAGTTCCTCTTTAGCATGCTGCTAGTGTACAGTATCACACCTGGGCTCCTTACAGCTGAGAAAGCTGACTACATCTCATATATTTTAAATGAACTCAGAAGCTCGTCGCAATCACAGAATCTGAAGTCTTCCTGGCTAGTGGTTTTGATCACCTCGGGGAGAAAATTTCACTTTTACAGAAGGAACTAAAGAACTGAAAGTCAGTTCTGGAGGCCACTACTTTCACCCTCATGTCCAGGGAACCAGCACACCAAATCTCAGCCTAGTGCTTCCCTAGGAAGAAAAACAGGGTTGCTGATGATCTGCATGCCAAGGGCTTTGGGTGTGGGGCACCAAGCACTTAGTGCGGATGCGATTTGTGGTCAAGCAGCCAAGCCTGGACGCTGCCTCCAGCTGCTTTGGTAGCATTTTTGGTAAAATTTTCCCCCTTGCTTTGCCTGTCAGGGATTTGCCATGGAGTTTACCCCCTTTGGAAGGGTAACTGCGGCTTCCTGCTTGCAAATCCTGTGAGCAGCAGTGCCCAGGCATGCCATGCTCTGGGTGCATACACAGAGCATTCAGTAAGATTTTTATCTCCCTTTGCTGCTTTTCTCCAATTTTTTTGAACTAAGTACAGTAAGATGCTGCAGTACAGCGTAAGCTGTGCTAAGTGATGGCCACCAGCACTCTTGGAAAAAAAGAGTTTCATGTTTTTTGGGGTCTAAGTATCGTGAAAGAATCGAAAATTTCACCAGAAATTATAGCCAGTAGCTGTATGTCAGGAACATTGGATTTTGGAGTCGAAGAACGTTGACTGATGTTTGCCACATTAACATGGGGGTCCAGTGAAGCTGAAAGAGAAAGAAATCTTTATAAGTATTGCAGTCATTGGGCTTTTCTCGGAGACTAGCTCAATGAGCTGAAAGCTAATGGCTCTTGAACATTGTGAAGTTTACCCAGAAAATGGGGTAATAAGGTGAAGAAAGTTGGTACTGTCAGTAGTTTAGAGGAAGGGCAATGGCCAAATAACAGGGCAGGAGCAGAAGGCGAGCGTTTCTGAAGGGCTTCACGCTGCAGCAGGGGTTGAGGTAGCAGGATGCAGCAGGATGCAGCAGGGGCAGGACGAGCTCATGCTGAGCCGCGCTCTCCCTCCTGGCTCACCCCGCTCACATACTGTGATATTAACTGCTTAAGTGTGGGTTATATGTACTCGGGTCCAGCTCAGGGATCCGGGTCACAGAGTGACACCAGTTTTACCTTCAGAACCCAGGAGAGAGTAATTTACCTTCTACCAGTTTTTCATCCAAAGCCAGTATATGCTGTAGGCACCCTTCAAAGGCCTTGGCTGTGCACCTGAGAATGGTAAAGACCTTCAACTATTTTTTTCTTTCCATTCTCTCTTAAAAAAAAAAAATAGATTTTACCGCTCTACAATATTCTGGGGATTTCTCCAAATGTAGAAAAGTTCCAGATGGCTCTGTTGTAATGTTTAGCAGCACTTTCTTTTGCTGTCTATAACTCTTCAAAATTTAATGTCTGTGCTGCTATCAAGTGAGAAGAACATAATGAATAACATATACCTAGGTGTCATTCATTCTTTGACAGAAAGAAGGATGGAAGGCATACTTACTTTTTAACCTTTTTATAGGATTTTTTCATAGGTTTTAGTTTTTCTTTAGAATTAATTAACATCTATATAAATTGTGCTAAAAATAGGTTATTAAAGTCATTGTAGTACCAATGCTTAAATGATTAAGATGATTTTATAACAGTGAATGGATAAGCCTGGTCTCAGTCCTAGCCAAAATCTTGGCTAGAAGGCTGATAGGAAATGCAGTACAAGGCTGAAGGACTGACAGCAAAAACATGACCCACACATAAGAGGTGAAGGAAGAAAACTCGCTCTTGAGAAGGTAACTTTATGCTACTTTGAAATACCAATTTGTGTAAGAAATTAATATCACGATGTATTTCAGTTGAATGTTTGAACATGTGAATTTAATGAAATCTATATTCAGTAGCTCAAAGCCGGCCAATTTATTAGAGAACAACTGCAGGTGGGAAATCACTGTGCTAAGGAACTGCTCCTCATGCACTGTAGGAGGGATCCCTTCTCATCAAGTTGATCATGGTTCTTGCCTGTGATCAGGGAGGGTGACATGAAATTATCTAGAATGTGTTTTTAAAATTAATTGAGGTTGGTTTTTAGGGTTACAGTGGTCTTGGACTATGTTTACACAGCAAATAGGAGCATGAAGGTGATAGAGCTCAAGATTGTGGCTGAAATACTGTCCAGGTCAGAAAACCACACTTAGTCTGTTGACAAATTCTAAGAGGTTCATAGATGTGGGACTGCTTGGGTTTCCTCAGCACATTTGCAGAGATGCCTTCTGTTGTGAACCAATACAGGCAGAACATAAGGACCACAAAAAGGCTTTTCTGTAAACAAAGTATAACAAGATCTTGTGCTGCAAAGCAGTAAAAAGCTAAAACTAGAAATGAGACACTTGTGTTGAACAGCCAGCATAATTAAAAACTGAAGTAGTTTAGTGAGGAAAACATTGCAGAGGCACTGTGTAGATTCTTCAGATTCAGGCTGGATGTCAATTTATAGGATACTCTTTCATCTTAAAAATTGGTGCAGGTTCCATGGAGGGAAAGTTGGCTGTGGTGGTGGGCAACCAGGCCCCACATGTGGTTTAGTGGCTGTAATGATCCCTTCTTGGCACAAAACCTGTGAAAATTGGGAGAGGAAGGAAATGCTGCTCTCTGAGGCACTGCCTGGGCTGCTGGTGGGGCTGTAGGCCGGGGAACGTGCGGCTGCTGCCGACGCTTTGGCATGTGAGAAGGAGCAGACAGGGCACAACCGCTTCGTTGTGGCACCAGCGCGGTGCAGAAGACATAAATTGCTGCTAAAATAGCCAGTCCTTTCACAAACTTTGAAGCTAACTCAGGGTCCTAGTTCTCCTTTTCTTCTCCACGTTGGTTTGGTCCTAATGTAAGCAAAATAATCAAGAACAGCCAAGAAGCCACACACATTTTCAACAAGTTCTTGGTTATGAGGTAGAGGCAGTCACAGCTTTCTGCACAGCAAGACTTCTTTTCTTCTGTAATTCATTTACTGCTTCCATGTGGCACTTTATTCTTCCTATTATGCTTCAGTATCTTATGTTTTATTTTGATTTGTTTTCACATTTTACATATTTATTTTGTTACCCTTAAAACATAAGTACTCAGCCTGGGACAGCATTAATTTCTCCAACGCAAAGGATACAATGTTCCTCCAGGACCTGCCACTTCTGGCGCCCCTGGTTAAAGTATTTGTTGATTTTCTGTGAGATCCAGGTGATCAAATGCACTCGTTCTTGTATCTTTGCCCGCACAAATCCTTCCTTCTGCAGCTCAACCAACCTCCCTCCTTCTCCCATAAGTCTTCAGATTTCTGCAACTTACCCTCCTATCCCCCTATGTGCAGACCCTTAGAATAATGGTTTGGTTGAGCCTGAGATATTTTATCAGTATTTTACATTTTTGGCTGTGTTGGTTTATCTGCATACAGAATTTTTCTAAATCACCAGGTAGGCTGGACTTGTTGTGCTAAACTTTTTGTTCTGAAACATTTATAATATAAAATACAGACAATTTTAGTTCGTGAAGGTATTGTTTTTATTATTATTAATTATTACAGGGAAACATTGGGCCATTCCTCTGAAAAACAATGACTCATTTAAGGAAGATTTTCATTGCCTTTTTGTTTTTGTTTGGCTAGTTTATAGGGTTGAATGTGTGAAATGACCATCTTTTCATTTTGTTTTCTCCTAGCAGCCTGTTATTAATACTTAAATATTATCCCTTTTCCATGTTTATTCCAGGAGGACTTGTTGGTATTGAGGAAAACTGTGAAATCCTTTCTGGCCGTCTGCCAGCAGTGTCTATCAAATGTCAACACTCCAGTCAAAGAACAGGTAAAGGGAGGGTCACCCACAAGGTTTTACAAAGGGCGAATATGAAATTCAGACATTTATAAAACTCAGACATTTACTATCCTGAGCTTGAAATAAAATTGCGTGTGCCTTCTGTCTGAATACAACTTTAACGAATGCTCCATCAAATAGCTTTATTAAAAGCATATTCAA